TTATGTCTTCCATGTTTAATATTTATAATTTTTTTTAAATAGGTTACATTTTGGGATGAAAGATTTGAACGTCACCCTTGAATTAGAGATATATCTTATTATAAGATATATAATTATTGAATTACAAAATACATATATATTTAATATTTATAATAAAAATATAAAATTAGTGTTTATCTGTTTTATTTTTTAAAAATTAAAAAAAATATTTCAAAATTAAGTAGCTTTAATGAAATACTATAAGAATAAATAAAAAATATTTTAATTTATGTTTTAAAAATAAAATATTTTAATATTTTTTAACAAAATTTATTAAAATAACATAATTTTAAAATAATTTTTTTTAATTTTTAAAAAATAAAACGAATATATACTGTTTTCTAAAAATATTTAAATTTTTTAAACAAAAAATCCTTATTATAAAGACTGAAGAGCAAGTAAGTTTGGCAGTTTACCATTCGTGCAAGTGATCGCATATAGAGACTAGGGTTCTAGCCCTGCCAATGACTCTCCCTCTCTTCCACTGGGTCTGAATTCGACATGGTTAAACCAAATAAGTCAATTCCGTATTGTACCGGCCCATATGATCGGTACGTATTGGTTTTGACATTTGACCGAAATGATACAATGTTAAATTTTATTTCGGTCGAAATTCGACTGTTCCGGTATAAAATCTGGTGTACCAGTCGGTACACAAAATTTCGGCCGGTACACTTCATGCCCAAAACAAAAAAATTTTTCCTATCCAAAACGACGTCGTTTTGGCCAACACTGCAATTTTGATCACGCAAATCCTCCTCTGTTCTCGCCTCAGCTGTCTTATCTTCCATTTTTTCAGTTGCCCGCTACAATTCAAATCAATTCAAATTTCAAAAGAGAAAATTTCATTTTTAGTCCTTAATTTTGATATTTTATATAATTTTTATCCTTAATTTTTTTATATACTTTTTTAATCCATTCTTCATATTTTTTTAATCATTTTATTAATTATTCCATTAAGTTTTTTTAAATATACACATTTTTAATTCTTTAATTTAAAAT